TTTATCACAGCAATCAGTCTGATCCTGGCTTGGTCCCAGAAGACATGGGGATACGTTTGGGTGAGGATGCTTGGGCCACAAAGGGGCTGCACCAGGAGGATCTCAGCTTACTAGAAAGGATGAGGAAACCCAAAAGCTGGATCATCTTCTGGTATTCCTATGAACATGAGGCAGGTGCCCAGGTATTAATGCTACTTTGGAACTGGCGGCTTCTGAAAAGCAACCCACTTCCAGAATTTTTCCTTGTGAAAACAGCAGATATTTTAATTTGGGTTTTACAAGGATACATGGGAAATGCCATACAGGTATCTGCCAAACCCTCCATCTAGAATGTGTCTTACTGAGGATCATGCGTTCAGCACAACAAACCTATGGACATAATGGGATTCCTCCTCAGAGGCTCCTCTCAGGCCCTGGTGAGAAAACAGCAGCTTAATGCAAAAGAACTTTTGCACAGGACACTCCCTGAACTTTACAAATTCGTTAGAAAATTACTCAGCACAATACTGAATGCATCCAGAACTCTGATATTTTGTGCGTCAGGTGGTGAAACGGTAGCTGTGAATAGATTGCCTGTACGAAGACTTTTGCCTTGAGCACTGCAGTAGCAGATGGGCTAATAAATTCGCAGTGCTCTAAAACAGTGTTTGTAATTTCCGTGACCTGAGGCTTTTAATGGACAAAACCCCTGATCAGTGTAATGTGAACATGGTTTGAAGTACACTGAAGTACACTACTGCTGTAGTAACAGTTGTACCTGGAGCATCGCTGGCTTTCTTTACGAAGTGTTTTACTGTGGCTGTACCTGGTCAGCACAGAGGACTTCTGCCTAAGTCCTCATCTCCATCTCCCCTCTGTCAGTTTAAAGTCACTCCCCCTCATCCTGTCACTGCATCACGAGGCTGTTGATTCACCACTGATTTACCACAGGAACCTTCATAATAAATTCTTACCATGCAGTTTGATGTTCACAGGTAATTTTCCCTCTTGAGAAGAGCTAAGGTTGCAAACAGAACTGCTGTTAGAGTGGCATGATAAGGGCAAAATTCTGCTCAGGTCTTTGCATCGTGGGCTGGCTGCTGCCTGTGATCCCTTGGGAGCTCATGGCTGCCTCTGGGGTTTCATCCAGGGCATTTGCATTTGTGCTGCTTGTAGCACCTGCAGCGGGATCCCAAAACATCACGGTTAGAACTAACAAGCAAGTTAAACACTGACCAAGAAACAAAGATGGCAAGTGTTGTTATTACTTACATATTCCCACGGGTATCATGAAGCCAAGCTTTCAGTTTACCAGGGAACTGAATTAAAGTAGTTTTATTCAGCATGCCAAAAAAGGTAAGGATAGGGATGCCAAGCCACTATAGTAACCATGAGGGAAGTGGTGATTATCAGCAATACCACACAGAACAGACAGACTGGATTGCTTTTCATTTTATGTGGAGCCCATTGCTTAAAAAAAAATCAAGCCCTTTTTCTAAAATAAAGAAATAGCACACAAAAATTACTGAAATATGAAATGCATTATGCAAAATTCTTGTGAAGGCTTTTTCAGCCTGTGCAACCTTGCTGTTTGACCCAAAGTTGGAAGGATGTGCCGCTAAACAGAACGCTTTATGGCTGAAGGCTATGTTCATAATAAAGCATGACTTCTCATGTTTCTCCCCTAGTAATGGTGGCAGCAGAAGGGAAAAATCAATACTGATGTCCTACCATAAGCTCCTTAAGAAAGAGCGTGTTCTTTTTTTCAGCATAATGAGGCTCAGGCGTAGAGACAACACTGAGCAAAAACTAAAACACTGGTGTGTTTTAAGCATTGTTCTCACACTAAAGCCAAAATACAGAACTGTATGACCTACTAAGAAGGAAATTAACCTTATCGCAGCTGAAACCAGGAAAACCTGCTGGAAAGCATGCTCTAGGGAGAACTACGTGATTCTCGCGTGCTAAAGCATTTATGACTGCTAGGAGCGTATCTCCGTGCTCTTCATCACTTGCCATAAATGCTGGCTTTGACAATCCGGCTAAAAAAAAAGCATGCTGTGTGCCAGCAGTGCTTTAGATGTAGGTTCACAGGATGATGATTAAGAAAAACACTGTGAGCAAAACTCACAGTCCTTGAAGCAAAGCTGCTTCAGCTCACAGGTGGTGTTTACAGCATTACAGCAATCAATCCCCATGGATGCCGAAGACATAAAGCTGCTAACCAGGATACAAAGGGCAAGGATCCCAAACCGCTGATTTTGAAAAGCATGACTTGCGTATAAAATACTGTACTAACGACTGCAGGACAAAGTGCAGATGGACTTGCCTGTGAGCCTGTCTGGAACAAGAGACTCACTGTCACTATCCTGCTGGCTCCTTACGGCATTAGTGGTGGCGATAGGGCCAGGTTGGATGGGGCTTGGAGCAACCTGCTCTTGTGGAAGGTGTCCCTGCCTCTGGCACGGAGTTGGGACTGGGTGAGCTTTAAGGTCCCTTCCATCACAAACCAGTCTGGGATTCTACAACAAGATTGTGGAGACCCCAAGAACTCCCCCTCATCCAAGCTTCAGACATCCACTGTCACACTTTTGTATGTGACATGTTAGTGATCGCCTGCTGTGAAGCCAGGACCAGAACCACCCAGGCAGTCAGTGGGACACAATCCATGGGACCTTTGCAGAATCCTCCCTCATAAACAGCAGACACCAGTTTGCAGGCAGTTTTTTGTTGTTCTTTTTCCCAAAGTGAGCAGCTACCTCCATAGCATCAGTGACCCAGCATGGGAACTGCAAGCCGTCCTATTCCCGCTATGTGGATAAGTAAAGGAGACAAATAATTGTTGATTGTGCACCTGGGCCTTGAGTAAGTCAGGGAGCTCTTGGGTGCAAGGTCGGGCTTGGAAGCAGCCTACAGAGTGATTGTTTATAGAATGGAATTTATAGTGACTGGAAACAGTCACTGGGAATAATATAGTTGCTGTTTGGCTACATGGCTCAGACCTGTATCTGTATGCTATATATTACCATGCTTGAGTGAATAAGGTAGAACTAGTTGTGAAAGCTCTGTGTGTTCAGCCTCTTTCTTTACAGATGCCGCAACCCAGTTTGGATTCACCATGGTGCTCTAGGACATCCAACCACTCCTGTGAGACATGCAGCTATAAAGGGAAGACTAATGACACATTTTAAGTAGTACTTACCACAGGTACAGGGAGCATGGTCCTGATCACTAAATGATGCTCACGAGAAAACGGATAGATATGCACAAGCCAGCATCTGAATTTTGAAGGTCAAAATTAATTTCACTGAACTTTTAAACTGATTATGGCATTAGCAAGAACAGGTACAAATCCTTCTGGGAGATACAGGCTAGGGCACGGCAAGTAAATTACCTGAGCACAGTATCTGTCTTCTGTGGATTTCAGTGCTACTTGAGTCAATTTGTGATGATATGTTTGTACCTGCCACAGAAGCCAAATACTCAATCTGATCTTCTGCCAAGTCACTATTAACAACTGCATTTCCAATTCATTCTAGGATATTCATTAACCAGGATCCATAATTACATATAATTTACAGACATACCATTTTAAATCACTTGCCAGGGAGCTTACTAAGCTCACTTTATGATATTCAAATATATTATTTTTAAAAATCCACTGAACCATCAGTTTGCAAGTAATTACAGTGGAATAGCACTGCAAATAATCAAGTAGATACTGAGAACAAGAATTGTCAGAAATGCCTATAGATCATTTTTGCCATGTGATTTTTGACATTCCCTTCAACTGTCTCCAGAAAACTGCTATGTATTGGTGGATTCCAAATCTGTTCCACTAACTTAGCTCCGTTACAACACAACTCCTTGAACTTCCCATTTCATGGGCAAACCCTGCCCAACACCTCCTCTTCAACACCAGGCAGCTGATTTTTTAATGATTTATTTACCCTTTGAGCAAGTGTCCTGTTGCTCAGAGGGAGGACACTAGTGGCGAGCAGCCCTGCAGACTGTTGCAGAATGTCCCTTGCCCTCGGGCTGGAAATGTCAGGCACTGCTTGGAGCCAAACAGCAGCAATGAGAAGGCAGGAACATCTGCAACAGGTTAACTGTAGGGCAACTAAGAAGATTAAGGGAGTGGAGCATCTCCCTTATGAGGAAAGACTGAGGGAGCTGGGTCTCTATAGTTTGGAGAAGAGGAGATTAAGGGTGACCTTATTAGTGTATATAAATATATAAAGGGGGAGTGTCACGAGGATGGAGCAGGCTCTTCTCAGTGGCAAACAATGAAAGGACAAGGGAATGGGTACAAATTGGAGCACAAGAGGTTCCACTTAAACCTGAGAAGAAACTTCTTCTCAGTGAGGGTGACGGAACACTGGAACAGGCTGCCCAGGGGGGTTGTGGATCTCCTTTTTGGAGACATTCAAAACCCGCCTGGACACGTTCCTGTGTAACCTTATCTAGGTGTTCCTGCTCCGGCAGGGGGATTGGACTAGATGATCTTTTGAGGTCCCTTCCAATCTCTAACATACTGTGATACTGTGAACTGGATTTTAGAGCAAAGCTTGACATGTCTCTATGCACAGTATTTTATTAATTTCATAGATTAATTTCACTTTCAAAGGCTATGTATGGTCTGGTTTATATCTGTGGTCCTTCTCCAAGGTCAACAGGGATATTTTATAGAATGATAGAATCATTTAGGTTGGAAAAGACCTATAAGATCATCAAGTCCAACTGTTAACTTGGCACTGCCAATTCTGCCACTAAAAACCGTATCCCTAAGTGCTGCATCTACACATCTTTTAAATTCCCCCAGTGATGGTGACACTACCACTTCCCCCGGCAGCCTGTTCCAATGCTTGATAATTCTTTTAGTGAATTATTTTTTCCTACTATGCAAACTAAACCTCCCCATGTGCCACAGAAACTAGCTGCACAGTGATGCAGGCAACTGAAAGTTCTAAGTTGGAACTTTAGGACCCTCGTTGAAAACTGCACTGAAACCCAATGCAGACAGGTTAATCACAGTATTTCATTGGAAGGTATAATGTAAAAACTAATGCAAACATGTAACAGCTGCACTCTGAGCACAGCTTCCCATATGAATTATATATGCACCTTGCCTTACATGAAATAAGGCTCCAGTTTTTGAGTGTTTAGCCAATCATTCTTCCTGCTCTTCAGTCCTGTGTTAAATTACATCAGTAAAGTAGACAGTAGCTGGTTCTCCCAGAGCCTGCATATTTACCTGGCTTTTGGTCTCCATTTATAAATGGTCCATGCAGTTTAAAATGCACCACACTGCACACACGGCAGCTTTACCATCATCCCATTACTCTAACATGCAACAGTAAACAACTCCTTGAAGATGAGGAAAATACTGCTTTCTCTGATGACTAAAGGGACAGCTTATGAAATGGAGGTCTTTGAACACTGTATCTTACTGGACAAGGAATAAGATAGCAGACAACCAATTAAAAATACACAGTAAACAAGCAATGAAAACATTTTGTTTGAGTAAAACCATAACATCACAAACCTTTATTCAACTTAGCTTGTTTGATACAGAACCTCTGAATACTGCAAATAAATTGGACTAACAAATGTCACAGTCACAAGGAACTTTCATATTATGTAAAGTTCCACTGCATTACAACTTAACAGAGAACTATAAAAATAATATGCTGTTTACAAAATATATTAATCTGTTTGTAAAACTATCAGTTAACTCAAATTTTAAGTTTCATGATAACTTATGCAGCTCAGTCACACTGTACGAAGCATTGAATAATACTCCAAATATAAATTTATATCGTCTCACAATCCAACTATGCCAATTCATAGTATTTCCCAGAATTCGGATCAAAGTAACAGTTCAGACATGGATCATACAGAAGAGTCAACATTTCCTTATCTTCTTCAGTACTGAGGTCACTGAGGTCACCTGTGTCAAGCGGAAGGAGAAAGAATAAATCACTCTTAGTCGCTTAGACATTAACATGGAAATACCATTCTGTCAGATGTGACAGAATTCTTCTTTGAAGTGTATGATCTTTTGACTCCTGAATTGTTACCTTCAAGATAGCAGCAACTCACGTTTTTATTGTATTTCTGAAGACTTGTATTCAGTTGAGGTGAAATAATGTCAGTCAGAGATTGCTTAACAACCAGACTTTCCAAATGGAGCAGTTGCCCAGAAGTACTTTTACTGATGGTGGACCAAAGGATTCCTAAATGCTATTTTTCTCAATGACTTTCTTAAACAATAATGGTTCAGAATGAACAAAGACAGTCAGTGTGTACTTAAGGCCTGTAAGACTTAAAGAATGTGAATGTCTGGTAATCAATATGTCACCTAAATGTCCAGTATAGGTAAACCTGTACAAAAGAGCTTTCAGTATTGGAGAGGAAATAAGATTATTCTAGACAATAAAAAAATCTAAACCTAGGGTTTTCAGAATTATGTAAAAGGCAAGAATGTTTTCAGGTAACTAAAATATACTGATAAAGCCATACAGACAGCTATTACAGATGCTTTCTATATTGTAGTTCCTTTTCTAAGCCTGTCTTTCAAATAAGCTAAATCTAGATTGTATGACCTACAGCTTTTTGATAGGAAATAATTCACAGTGAACACAATCTGTATCTTGAATTTCATCATACATGTCCATCTCATTCTTAGATTGCTAATACAAACTGAATGTTCTTTGTATGCCCTGACACTCCATAATAAGTCACAGCCTGTTGTGCTAACAGCAGCAGTTTCACAATGCTCAGAATCTATTTACAGCCAGGATCATGCCACAATACACAGGTTACATTATCTAGAGGCCAGAAAGTATGCTGGTGCATTAATGAGGACAGACAGTGTACGCTTTAGCCTTTTGGAATACATGTCATTTTTGTTTCCTCAGTGGCATTAACAAACACTATCAGAAAGAAACTGTCTTTTACTGTAACCAAAGGTAAAGTTAAGTTGTTGCCCTCCCTGCTGTGAGTACTTCATCAGTCCTGGTGAGCTAAATGAGCTTAACTGAGATATTTTGTTTGGACAGCTCTTGGGAAAAATTACGCAGTGCAGAAAGAAGACATAGAACTGAATGTCTTTTTCTACACTTCAGATCATAGCACATCAGCAAATTACGGTATTCAATGCCCCATTCCCTCACACAGCCTTACGTTTTCACTTGAAAAACATGTGATTTCCAATTAATTTTTCCATTTATTACTTTGCTTTTCCCTGTCTATACTTCTCTTCAAAGTTTTCTTTTCTTCTCTAAGCTTAAATCTCCTTCCCTCTTTACCTGGGAACTGCTCCCTGGTTTGATACAAGAATAGTTTTCTGCACACTCATTGAGGTATATCTCTTTCCCTTTATACCTCAAATTCACATCAGATCAGAATTAGACTGCATCCAGGACTGGCTGGATTTATACCTTTATAGCAGTAATTCCCTGCATGTATTTTTCCGTGAAGAAGAACTTAGTTTTCTACGTATGTACTGGTTTTATAGATATGCTTCTGTCTTTTAGTACCTCACAACATCCTCAAACACATTTTAAAGCAATTCTAGATGTTGCAACAGATTTCCAACGGCAGTATAGAGTATTCAGTTTTGAACAGATTAAAAACACATAAAAAACTTTACTTCAGTTTTACTTCCTAAAAAGATGCAGTAATTAAATTAAATGACATTTTTCTACATGACTCAGCTAATGTGTACTGGTTGTGTTAGAAGGCATCCTTCTACTTCAGATGGTGCATTGTGTACAACTTGACCTTATGTGGGAATGAAGTGTCTATGGACAAATTCCCTGATAAACGAGCCCCTTTCAAGTAACATTTCCAGAGCTGTTTGAGCTGCTCAGGATTACATAAAAAAAACCCCTTGGTAGTTTAACTTGAATATCATGGTGAAAGCAAAATCAAAGCTTTTGTAAATAAATCACTACGAAATTAAACAGTATTTTAGGCTAGCAAATAACTTGATTCTAAATGAAACCTCAAGCCTGAGATACACAATATAGAGGGATGTGTATTTTTTAGTTCAGAGCTGAAAGACTGAAGATAGTTAATACCTCTGAATACCTATCGTATTAAAGGAATGCTGCCCTACTGAAATCAAGGGAGCTATTGTTTTTATGGAGAAAGGCTTTTGCTCAGAATGTTTAAACCAGCATAACAAAGAATGGAGAAGGCATGCAGCAGCTTTTTCTGAACTCTGAAATAAATGCACAAATAAACTGTTGTTGTTTGGATTCTGTTAACACTGGTTCCACAGTCACCACAATCTGGAGAACTACAATAAATAGTTTCCATTTTCATGAAAATATATTTTCCCTGTATTGTAGGTTTTAATACTAGAAAATGGCTTGAAGCAAATCTCACTTTAAGACACATGGATCATATTCTGACCCTGACATAAGGCAACTGCACTGGATCGGCTGTCAGCAGAAAGGGTGCTGGAAAGAACACTGCTAGTATTTTTTCAGATATGATCCTTGAGCATGGAACTGCAGTGCTCAAATCTATACTGTAATTATGTGCTGCAGGGTTACCACATGACTGTGGTCAACAGCTGTAGTCCAAGAAAGACTCTTCAGTGCTGTGGTTCCTGGGGTTCCTAGGATTCATGACTCTGCCTTCGTCACCCGCTGGGGAAACTTTCTTATTTGTTATGTCAAGATGAAATTGTCTATAAATCAGAACTAGCAATGCTCAAGAAGGGAAAAATCTATGGAAATTAATCATATTTATGAGTCTAAATTTTCCTCGATTGTCTTGTGAAACCTGTTGAACAGAAAAGTACTTCTCATTATGTCTCCCTATTTAACTAATGCTGCTGCAAATGTTAAGAAAGGAACAACAGAGGATAATGCTTTCTTAGAAATTAATCCCCTTTCTTCCCCAAAGATATGCATCAACTTAAAGATTTTTTTCTAAATATAAGAATTAAAAAATCTTCATAAATACACTAATGCTATACTACCTGGTTTTCTTTAAGGACAATTTTAGCTAAAGTTAGTATCTTGAATACATTATAATCACTGCAGATTTTCAGTTCTGCTAATACGGTTTTGTTACCCTGTGCTAACTGGAATACTGGAAAACTGCACGCACACACACACAATAACCTTGTAACCATTGAGTCACTGTCCAAGATGAGAAATAATTCATTTTCTAATGTGGCATTTTTAAGAAAATAACGAGTAGGGAAGCAGATTTTTATGGAATGAATTTGATCATTCAGCTTGCTGATCAGATTTGGTACTTGATTGTCAGTAACAAAACTGTTCTTTCATCACACAAATAACTAACCTCAGCTGAAGTGATTAAGGAAAACTAACTGGTAGAGACATACCACAGGACACAACAAAACCAAAAAGTCACCATAAAAAGCTATGGCATATAGAGATTTTCTGTTCTCCAAATGTGCAGTCATGGACACATGATGTACTTCAGCATAAAGGAAAATGAGTTTAGGAACAATTCACAAAACACTGTGGAAATTCTAGTGTGAATAACAGAAGAAATGCAACAAATTCCCAAGTTTCCCGAAATTCTATTTTGCTGTCATAAGCAATTATAAATATACATCTATGAAAACATCCCCCATTTGAGGGACATAATTTGTTTTAGATAGTAAGTCATTCAGGCATCATCCTTCGGGCAGCCGAAATACACAGGTCAGATTTATGAGAGGTCACACTGAATTCTCCAGAGTTGAAGAAAAATGTAGATATCTACCCTGTTTCTTAAGACAACTGATAAGAAAAAAGGGCATTTGAAAAAAAACAAGGTATTTGTTTTATTCTACTGTTGTTGACTTTCCAGTTTCAGCTGAGTTCTTTGCCATTTACTAAGCAAATAAACAAAAACCTGTAACATTTTAGGTGATGACAAGAGTCTTTACACAGGAAATCATGTTGAGATTTCATTTAAAGCTAAAACTGAAATTTTTCTTTGTAAGAGAAATATCACTTACATAAGCGTAATTGTGCTTCTGAACAAGAATGTGTAGTCTTTGCATTCTTTGTTCCATAGGTTTGCCATCCCCACTAGCATAAATTACTTAAACAATAAAGATGTATTTTTTGAGTTAATCTGTATCAAGTCAGAACATTAGGAAACTTCATCTGCGTAAGCTGCTCTTTTATCAAAAGAAATAATACTGCATGGAAAACTCTACCAGCTTGAGCTAAAAATAGTAAAAATAACTTGGAACCAAAATGCCGCAGTATAGAAAACTATGAAAAGGCAGCACCAGCACTACAGAAACAGCATTTCAAAATGTCTTTCTACCCAGGACCTTTTCATTGTCTTCATAAATTCCTACCTGGAGTACTCTGATTTGTTGAAGATCTAGTGTGCTTTTCCAGCTGTTGGCTTCTAGGAATAATGGGGGGACTGAACGCGCCCATCCAGTCCCTGAAAAATACAAATCAAAATATCATCCATAAAGCACACTTTGTGTTCCTATTATTTAAAAAAACCCTTTCAAAGGTAAGTGCAGGTTGTTGAGTGTGACGGAACAACATCAATCTGGATTTTATTATTATAAAAATAAGCTTTACAGTTAATACTATAAATGTTAAGGTTTCCTTCCTTCTTTAGCCACTCTTAGCTGGTACTGCTCTCTCAGCAAAAAGTGTACATGAGGTGTGATCCTTAATCCACAGAGCTATACTGTGAAAGACTCTAGGACTCATGAGAGTATTTTTCCTGAGGAATAAAGATTCGGGATGAACAACCTGGTCTTGACTAGAGACTGATGGGGCCAATTTGATTAAAAACCCTTAACCTCTCTAAGGAAAAAGACTTACAGACAATCATAAAGAGATGTCTTTGGTTACCACTGACTTGGCACTGGTTGGAGACCTCTGTACCACAGTGACATGGCTGGTGGTAGATCACTCACAGTCTGGATGGTTGGTGACTTAGAGTAGACCTTGGATTTGAAATGGATGCCACCAGCAGTGTGCTACGAGCTCAGTGGTCATGAACTGTGGGACAGCCAATTTGTATTAAATAATTTAATCTTTCCAGTTTAATTTAACTTGAAAAGTTTTCAGTAAAGGCATGGAATTAGTGGTCAGAGCTCAGAATAACATATTACCAGTTTGCTAGTGCTTTTCAGAAGGAAACACTGGATTGAGTCAGGATGTTACTGCTGACAGTATTCTCGATACTGGAAAAAAAGCTTTGCTAGGTAACTACATTATAAAGTGCTTATAACATCTTATTGTTATAAAATATTATATGTTCTAAATAAAAACGTTGTTATCAAGCATAAGATGATTTTAGCTACTGACAAGGCCATATAGAGGATTCATCTCAGCTGTCACACATATATTTTGATTCTGTAGAGAAAAAAACTTTATGGGATCTTCATCATAGATGAGGGAGTATGGGCCTTCTTCACCTATTCAGTTTAATAGGCAATTTATGTCTCTCCTCAACACTATTTTGTGATAGCTTTTAAAAATGATTTTCACATTATCACACATTCATGCAAAGTTCAATGTTCATTTCACACACACTGTTTTATGATAGTCTGTTTGCTACAGCTCAAAGGAAAACAGAACAGTTTTTACTGTTATTATTACTGCAACTGAAGATTTTTTCACTGAAGTAACTCATACCACATCTTGTAATTCTTTTCATACATGAAACCAATCTCTGTACACTGTACATAGCTGATGTTTCCTTAAGTTCCCATCTCTCCTCATCAGCAGTAAAGAGCTATAACACATTCAGGCTTTCATATAACCATTAAGTAGACTAAATACTTGCAAGCTAACACTTAAACATAGAATTCAAGGGACCTCAATAAGTCATCTCATTTTGATCAAGCCAGGTCCTTCTATTTTGATCAACCTACTTCAAGACAAGCAGAATGGAAAGGAAAAGGGCTCTTTAAATTCCTTTATGTTGCTTCATGCTGATGGGAACAGTGAAGCTCTACAGAGTAAATTAAACTCAAATTGGGGCTGCTTTGACTTACATCTGGCCATGGCTGTTCCAACAGCTGATACAAATATATTATACATGTGAAGCTGGAGGCAAAGGAGATTAGCCACAGCTGTTGAGGTAACTTCAACATCCATGGCTTCTTCTAGAAGGGATGAGTTGTTCCAAAGCTTGACAGGTTTCTTTACATTGGTGGACTGTAATTGTCTCAACTCAACTGTCCTACACCCGCTAAACAGGTAACGTACTTCTCCTTTCGGAAAAGCCTTGATGATCTCATGTAAGATTTGCTTCTGACAAAGGAATCTGGCAAGGCTCAATCATGTGTTATGATTGCTAAAATATGCCAACTTTTATGTTAGTTTTTCTGCTACTTCTGGACTTGTTATTGATTTCATATTATCTCCTGTTGGCATACAGGCATAATCTGGAGTGAACAGGGGGACAACCACCAGTCTGTTTGCAGTCAAAATGGAAAAAGGTAATTTTCTGCCTCAGGAAACAGAACTGCTGGTGTAGAAATACAGCAAGTAGTACAGCAGATTTAAAGAAAGAGAATTTTCTATCATTTCAATAATCAAAAAAAAACATACAAGATTTTTTTACACCGCCATATTCTTTTCACATATATGGTCAACTTCACAACCAATCCTTCTCTTCTGCTGTTCAGCTACCACCTGAGAACTGGTACAACTACTCCACACAGCAATATGCTTGTCTAGACATCGCATTATTAGCTCTCTGTGGCACTTCTCACCATACCTGCATTCCCGGAATACGGCCAAAGACTCTTTGTTCACACCAAAGCTTCCAAAGTTTTTAGGAATAACAGTTAAATCCATGCTTTGACATCCAGTGGCACGGTAGAATATATTTTCCATTTCTTCCACTGGCATGTGTGGTTTGTGCTGCCTCAGAATCAGCAAACATAAACCTAACACTAGAATCTGACCAAGCTCATAGCATGTGGTCAGAGAGCACGAAGCATTATCACTTACCTGATTCTCTACAATTGCACTGAAACATTACATCAGCAAAGGCAATATCTTGGAGAAACTGAGGCAATTTTAGAGAAGGTAAGGAAGAACTGCTAGCATTAATCTGTGCTTCCCAAGCTACCCTTTCTTCCAAATTAACTACAGCTTTTAGTTTAGTATTATCTATGAGACAGTCTAGATCCAGTTCATGTTTTTTTTCTCTCAATGTCCAAGAAAATCTAATAGCTTTGCTATTCAAACCCCTCCCACTAAGACAAGCAATCAAAACACTACAGTATTAGGGATTCATTGTTGACTTACAGTATTAGGGATTCATTGTTGACTTAGCATTACTTTTAAGATGGAAACATATTACATAATTTATATTAAAACTAGATTATTACTCCCACAAGTTGGATACCAATGTCTCAATCAACTTCTCCTAAAATCTTGAGATAAAAACCCCCAGAACAAAACATAATCTCATGTGTGCTGAAATATTCTCGGCCACACTGCAGTACGCAGTGAACACTGGAATTTGATAAACTTCTGAGAAGCGGGCTTACATTGATAATTCTGATAGATGGTGTAATCTAGCAGACCTTGCCTAAAAGTAGAGCCCAGCATGGAGACAACAGGCAGTGTTCTGTGAACTGTGGCCTGAGTTCCCATTTATGGCAGTTTTATACTGACTGAATATAGAATATTGCTTCTGAGAACTTCTTGAAGAAGCTGTTTATCTCCTTAAACCAGCAAAGCTTATCACACATTCTGACTCATCAAAGTCACTCCCTTCCTTTAAGCTATCACAGTATCACAGTATGTTAGAGATTGGAAGGGACCTCAAAAGATCATCTAGTCCAATCCCCCTGCCGGAGCAGGAACATCTAGATAAGGTTACACAGGAACGTGTCCAGGCGGGTTTTGAATGTCTCCAAAGAAGGAGATTCCACAACCTCCCTGGGCAGCCTGTTCCAGTGTTCCGTCACCCTCACTGAGAAGAAGTTTCTTCTCAGGTTTAAGTGGAACCTCTTGTGTTCCAATTTGTACCCATTACCCCTTGTCCTTTCATTGTTTGCCACTGAGAAGAGCCTGGCTCCATCCTCGTGACACTCCCCCTTTATATATTTATATACACTAATAAGGTCACCCCTCAGTCTCCTCTTCTCCAAACTATAGAGACCCAGCTCCCTCAGTCTTTCCTCATAAGGGAGATGCTCCACTCCCTTAATCATCTTAGTTGCCCTGCGCTGGACTCTCTCCAGCAGGTCCCTGTCCTTCTTAAACTGAGGGGCCCAGAACTGGACACAATATTCCAGATGAGGTCTCACCAGGGCAGAGTAGAGGGGAAGGAGGACCTCTCTCGACCTACTAACCACCCCCCTTCTAATACAACCCAGGATGCCATTGGCCTTCTTGGCCACAAGGGCACAGTGTCGGCTCATGGTCACCCTGTCGTCCACCAGGACCCCCAGGTCCCTCTCCCCTACACTGCTCTCTAACAGGTCGTTCCCCAGTCTATACTGGAACCTGGGGTTGTTCCTGCCCAGATGCAGGACTCTACACTTTCCCTTGTTATATTTCATCAAGTTATTCCCCGCCCAGCTCTCCAGCCTGTCCAGGTCCCTCTGGATGGCAGCACAGCCTTCTGGCGTGTCGGCCACCCCTCCCAGCTTAGTGTCATCAGCAAACTTGCTGATAGTACACTCAATACCCTCATCTAAATCGTTGATGAATATATTAAATAATACTGGTCCCAGTACCGACCCTTGAGGCACTCCACTAGATACAGGCCTCCAACTAGACTCCGCCCCATAGACTACAACTCTCTGGCTTCTCTCCTTCAGCCAGTTCACAGTCCACCTCACTACCCGATCATCCAGACCACACTTCCTCAATTTAGCCGCGAGGATGCTGTGGGAGACTGTGTCAAACGCTTTGCTGAAGTCAAGGTAGACCACATCCACCGCTCTGCCATCATCCATCCACCGTGTTATTTCCTCATAAAAGGCTACGAGATTGGTCAAGCATGACTTCCCCTTGGTGAAGCCATGTTGACTGCCCCTCATAACCCTCTTATCCTTGATATGCCTTAAGATGGCACCAAGGATAAGGTGTTCCATCACTTTCCCAGGGATGGAGGTGAGGCTAACCGGTCTATAGTTACCCGGGTCCTCCTTCTTGCCCTTTTTGAAGACAGGAGTGACATTTGCTTTCCTCCAGTCCTCAGGCACCTCTCCCGTTTCCCAAGACTTGGTAAAGATGATGGAGAGCGGTCACCCTATCAAAGCCTCCAGTTATAATCAACATAATCAATGGGCAATAAACTAGTGACAGCTTTCCTGATAACAATGTGCAATGCCCAAGTATGACATTGTGAGCCCCATTGTATGAAGCCTTAGAATAGCTTACACTAAAACTCTTCATTATTCTGAAAGCTCTTCTGTATGCCAAAACAGAATTAAAAATACTATATAGTCT